CAAATCCTCCCAAATTTTCCCCCAAATCCTCCCAAAATCTCCCCAAATCCTCCCAAATTTTCCCCCAAAATCTCCCCAAAATATTCCCAAATTTTCCCCAAATTTTCCTCATATTTTCCCTAAAATCTCCCCAAATTTTCCCCAAATTTCCCCCAAAATCCCCCCAAAATATTCCCAAAATCTCCCCAAAATTTTCTCCAAATTTCCCCCAAAATCCTCCCAAATTTCCCCCCAAATCCTCCCAAAATCTCCCCAAAATCCTCCCGAATTTCCCCAAATCCTCCCCAATTTCCCCCAAAATCCTCCCAAAATTTTCCCCAAATCTCCCCAAAATATTCCCAAATTTTCCCCAAATTTCCCCCAAATTTTCCCAAAATTTTCCCAAAATCTTCCCAATTTTTCTCCATATTTTCCCCACTTTTTCCCCAAAATCTTCCCAAATTTTCCCCAAATTTCCCCCAAATTTTCCCCAAAATCCTCCCAAATTTTCCCCCAAATTTCCCCCAAAATCCTCCCAATTTTCCCCCAAATTTCCCCCAAAATCCTCCCAAATCTCCCCAAAATCTCCCCAAAATCCTCCCAAATTTCCCCCAAATTTCCCCAAAATCTCCCCAAAATCTTCCCAATTTTTTGTCCGGATTTTCCCCAAATTTCCCCCAAATCCTGCCAATATTTTCCCCAAAATCCTCCCAAAATCTTCCCAAAATCTCCCTAAAATCCTCCCTAATTTCCCCCACCTTTTCCCCAAAATCTCCCCAAAATCTTCCCAAAATCTCCCTAAAATCCTCCCTAATTTCCCCCACCTTTTCCCCAAAATCTCCCCAAAATATTCCCAAAATCTTCCCAAAATTTCCCCAAATCCTCCCAAATTTCCCCCAAATTTCCCCCAAATTTCCCCCAAATTTTCCCCACATTTTCCCCCAAATTTTCCCCACATTTTCCCCAAATCCTCTCACATTTCCCCCCAAATTTTCCCCAAATTTCCCCCCAAATCCCCTCAAAATCTCCCAAAATTTTCCCCAAATCCCAAAATTTCCCCCGAATTTCCCCCAAAATCCCCCTCAAACCCCCCCAAATCCCAAATTTTCCCCAAATTTCCCCCCAAAGCCCCCCCCCCAAAAATTCCCTTTTTATTTTTCCCAAATTCCCCCAAATTTCCCCCAAAACAGGCTCCTGGTCGGGGCCCCCCTGGAGCGCGGCGACTCCGACACCGGCGCCGTTTACGGCTGCGGCTTCCGCTCCGGAACCTGCCGGAAACTTCCGCTCACCGGTCAGACCCCCTCCCCAAATTTGTTCCCAAAAAATTCCCCAAAAATTGGGGTTTTCACCCCAAAAAATTCCCAAAAAATTGGGGTGAAAACCCAAAAAAAGTTCCCCCAAAAAATTCCCCCAAAAATTGGGGTGAAAACCCCCAAAAAATTCCCAAAAATTTGGGGTGAAAACCTCCAAAAATTCCCAAAAAATTGGGGTGAAAACCCCCAAAAAATTCCCAAAAAATTGGGGTAAAAACCCCAAAAATTCCCCAAAAATTGGGGTAAAAACCCCAAAAATACCCAAAAAATTCCCAAAAAATTCCCAAAAAATTCCCAAAAATTCCCCCAAAAATTGGGGTGAACACCCCAAAAAATTCCCAAAAAATTTTGGTCCCAGGACCACCCGGAGCGGTCAATTCCTCGCTGGGGTTGGCGTTGGCGGCCGGAGACGACGCGGCGTTGGTGAGAGCCCGGATTTTGGGGAGGGGGGGTTTTGTGTTGAACCCCAAATCTTTGGGGGGTTGTTGGGTGATTTTTGGGAGGTTTTACCCCAAAATTTGGGGGTTGGAGGTCCGAAAATTGGGTTTTTTAGGAGGTTTTACACCGAAATTTGGGGGTTGGACCCCAAAAATTGGATTTTTAGGAGGTTTTACCCCAAAATTTGGGATTTTGTGGAACATTGAGGAGGTGGAACATCAAAAATTGGATTTTTTGGAGGTTTTGCCTCAAAATTTGGGGGTTGGAGCTCCAAAGTTTGATTTTTCAGGAGGTTTTACACCAAAATTTGGGGTTTGAAACCCGAAAATTTGATTTTTCAGGAGATTTTACACCGAAATTTGGGTTTCTGGTGGGTCTCACGGAGGTGGAACCCCAAAAATTGGAGGTTTTGCCCCAAAATTGGGGGTTTGAACCCTAAAAATTTTAATTTTTCAGGAGGTTTTACCCAAAATTTGGGGTTTTTTTGGTGAGGTTGAGGAGGTGGAACCCCAAAACTTGGATTTTTAGGAAGTTTTACCCCAAAATTTGGGGTATTGGTAGAACATCGAGGAGGTGGAACCCCAAAAATTGGATTTTTAGAAGGTTTCACCCTAAAATTTTGGGTTTTTTTGGAAGTTTCACCCAAATTTGGGTTTTTGGTAGAACATCGAGGAGGTGAGACCCCAAAAATTGGATTTTTAGGAAGTTTTACCCCAAAATTTGGAGTTTTTAGGAGGTTTTACCCCAAAATTTGTTTTTTCATAGAACATCAAGGAAGTGGAACCCCAAAACTTGGATTTTTAGGAAGTTTTACCCCAAAATTTGGAGTTTTTAGGAGGTTTTACCCCAAAATTTGGGTTTTTGTCATGGTCACTCATGTTTGTGGTCACCCATCTTGGTTTTTCAGGAGGTGGAACCCCAAAATTTTGAGTTTTTAGGAGGTTTTACCCCAAAATTTGGGTTTTTGGTAGAACATCGAGGAGGTGGAACCCCAAACTTCTTTCCCGAGGGACTTTGGCCCCCGGGATTTTGGGATTTGACCCAAAATTGCCTTTTTTGAGGTGAAATCGAGGTTGACCCCACCCAAAATGTGACCCCACCCCCTCCAGGTGTGCGGCCCCACCTCCCCCCAGGTGTGCGGGGTCAATGTCCACCTCAACGGCTTCTGCGTCCAGCTGGACTCCGCCCTGCGGCCGGTCCGGAGCCTTCCGGAGAAATTCCCAGGTACGGGGTGGCCAGTGGTCATCGTGGTCACTCATGGCCGTGGACGTTGACCATTGACCACCCAATGGTCATCTTGGTCACTCATGGCCATGGGCGTTGACCATTGACCATCCAATGGTCATCTTGGGTCATTCATGGTCATTGACCGTTGACCACCCCAGTGGTCATCGTGGTCACTCATGGCCATGGGCGTGGAGTGGTCACCTGGTGGTCATCGTGGTCACTCATGGCTGTGGATGTTGACCGTTGACCACCCCAGTGGTCATCATGGTCATTCATGGCCATGGACATGGAGTGGTCATCACCCAGTGGTCATCGTGGTCACTCATGGCCGTGGGCGTTGACCATTGACAATCCAATGGTCATCTTGGGTCATTCATGTCCACAGGTGTTGAGTGGTCACCTGGCGGTCATCGTGGTCACTCATGGCCATGGTCACCTATGGTCATGGTCACTCATGTTTGTGGTCACCCATGACTATGGTCACTCATGGCCATGGTCACTCAGTGAAGTGGTCACTCATGGCTGTGGTCACCCATGACCATGGTCATCCATGACCATGGTCACTCACAACCGTGGTCACTCATGGTTGTGGTCACTCATGACTGTGGTCACTCAGTGAAGTGGTCACTCATGGTTGTGGTCACTCCTGGCCATGGTTACCCATGACCATGGTCACTCATGGTCGTGGTCACTCACAGCCATGTTCACTCGGTGAAGTGGTCACTCATGGCCGTGCTCACTCGATGAAGTGGTCACTCCTGGCCGTGGTCACTCAGGGTCGTGGTCACTCCTGGCCGTGGTCACTCAGGGTCATGGTCACTCCTGGCCGTGGTCACTCCTGGCCGTGGTCACTCATGACTGTGATCACTCGGTGAAGTGGTCACCCACAACCGTGGTCACTCAAGGCCGTGGTTACTCGGTGAAGTGGTCACTCGGTGAAGTGGTCACTCCTGGCCGTGGTCACTCATGGCGGTGGTCACTCTGTCCGCAGAGTGTCCGAAGCCCTCGCTGGACATCGCCTTCCTGGTGGACGGCTCGGGCAGCATCGCCCCCAGCGACTTCGAGACCATGAAGACCTTCATCGCCGAGGTCATGCGGCGCTTCCGCCACGCCGACGCCCAGGTAACGCCCACCTGGCCACCGCCGGTCACCTCCGTGGTCACCTCCGTGGTCACCTCCGTGGTCAGCTGGGCTGGGGTGGAGTGGTGGCCACCCCTGTGGTCACCTTGGGTCACTTGTGGCCATGGATGTTGAGTGGTGACCACCCCAATGGTCATCTTGGTCATTCAAGTCCATGGGTGTTGACCATTGACCACCCAATGGTCATCTTGGTCATTCATGTCCATGGATGTTGAGTGGTGACCACCCCTGTGGTCATCTTGGTCATTCGTGTCCATGGACATTGAGTGGTGACCACCCCAGTGGTCATCTTGGGTCATTTGTGGTCATGGATGTTGAGTGGTGACCACCCCTGTGGTCATCTTGGGTCATTTGTGGTCCATGGACATGGAGTGGTGACCACCTCAATGGTCATTCATGTCCATGGACATTGAGTGGTCACTCTCAATGGTCATCTTGGTCATTCATGTCCATGGACACTGAGTGGTGACCACCCAAGCTTGGTCATTCATGTCCATGGGTGTTGACCACTGACCACCCAATGGTCATCTTGGTCATTCAAGTCCATGGGTGTTGACCATTGACCGCCCCAGTGGTCATCTTGGTCATTCATGTCCATGGATGTTGAGTGGTGACCACCCTAGTGGTCATCTTGGTCATTCGTGTCCATGGACATTGAGTGGTCACTCTCAATGATCATCCTGGTCATTCATCTCCACGGACACCAAGTGGTGACCACCCAATGACCACCGACCACCAAAGGTCATCCACCGACGGCTGCTGGGGCTGGTCCGGAGTGACCGCTCCGGTGGTCACTCAGTGTCCATCTGTCCAGTTCTCCCTCACGCAGTTCTCGGACAAGATCCAGACCCACTTTGACTTCTGGGCCTTCCGGAACTTTCCGGACCCCGCGCAGCTCCTCTGGAACGTCCGGCAGCTCCGCGGCTCCACCCACACGGCCACGGCCATCCGGACAGTGCTGTGAGTGACCACTGACCGCTGACCGCTCAGGCAGGAGATGTTCGTGGCCGGCCGCGATGCTCGGTCCAGCGCCTGCTGACCACTGACCACACTGACCACTGACCACTGACCGCTCAGGCAGGAGATGTTCGTGGCCGGCCGCGATGCTCGGTCCAGCGCCTGCTGACCACTGACCACACTGACCACTGACCACTGACCGCTCAGGCAGGAGATGTTCGTGGCCGGCCGCGATGCTCGGTCCAGCGCCTGCTGACCACTGACCACACTGACCACTGACCACTGACCGCTCAGGCAGGAGATGTTCGTGGCCGGCCGCGATGCTCGGTCCAGCGCCTGCTGACCACTGACCACACTGACCACTGACCACTGACCGCTCAGGCAGGAGATGTTCGTGGCCGGCCGCGATGCTCGGTCCAGCCCCTGCTGACCACTGACCACACTGACCACTCACTGACCACTGACCACTGACCCCACTGACCACTGACCACACTGACCACTCACTGACCACTGACCACTGACCCCACTGACCACTGACCACACTGACCACTCACTGACCACTGACCACTGACCCCACTGACCACTGACCACACTGACCACTCACTGACCACTGACCACTGACCCCACTGACCACTGACCACACTGACCACTCACTGACCACTGACCACTGACCCCACTGACCACTGACCACACTGACCACTCACTGACCACTGACCACTGACCCCACTGACCACTGACCACACTGACCACTGACCACTGACCACTGACCACTCACTGACCACTGACCGCTGACCGCTCAGGCAGGAGATGTTCGTGGCCGGCCGCGGCGCTCGGGCCGGCGCCCGGCGGATCCTGGTGGTGGTGACCGATGGTCAGAAGTTCGGGGACAGCCTGGAGTACTCGGACGTCATCCCGCTGGCCAAAGCCATGGCGGTCACTCGCTACGCCATCGGGGTGAGCCGCGGTCAGCGGTTGTGTCCGGCTGTCCGGCTGTCCGTGTCTGTCCCGTCTGGCCAGATGTCCATCCATGTCCAGATGTCCATCCATCCATGTCCATCCATGTCCAGATGTCCATCCATCCATGTCCATCCATGTCCAGATGTCCATCCATCCATCCATGTCCAGTTGTCCATCTCTGTCCCATCTGTACAGCTGTCCATCCATGTCCAGTTGTCCATCCATCCGTGTCCATCCATGTCCATCCATGTCCATCCATATCCAGTTGTCCATCCATGTCCAGCTGTCCATCCGTGTCCATCAATGTCCAGATGTCCATCCGTGTCCAGCTGTCCATCCATGTCCAGTTGTCCATCCATGTCCAGATGTCCATCTCTGTCCCATCTGTACAGCTGTCCATCCATGTCCAGTTGTCCATCCATCCATGTCCATCCATGTCCAGTTGTCCATCCATCCGTGTCCATCCGTGTCCAGCTGTCCATCCGTGTCCAGCTGTCCATCCGTGTCCAGCTGTCCATCAATGTCCATCCATGTCCAGCTGTCCATCCATGTCCAGTTGTCCATCCATCCGTGTCCATCCGTGTCCAGCTGTCCATCAATGTCCATCCATGTCCAGATGTCCATCCATGTCCACCTGTCCATCTCACCTGTCCATCATGTCCATCCCACCATGTCCACCTGTCTACCTCACCTGTCCATCCATGTCCACCTGTCCATGTCCACCTGTCCACCCATGTCCATCCATGTCCACCTCACCTGTCCACCTCACCTGTCCATCATGTCCATCCATCCATGTCCACCTGTCCACCTCACCTGTCCATCCATGTCCACCTGTCCATGTCCACCTGTCCATCCATGTCCATCCATCCATGTCCACCTGTCCACCTCACCTGTCCATCCATGTCCACCTGTCCATCCATGTCCACCTGTCCACCTCACCTGTCCATCCATGTCCACCTGTCCATCCATGTCCACCTGTCCACCTCACCTGTCCATCCATGTCCACCTGTCCACCTCACCTGTCCATCCATGTCTACCTGTCCACCTCACCTGTCCATCCATGTCTACCTGTCCACCTCACCTGTCCATCCATGTCTACCTGTCCACCTCACCTGTCCACCTCACCTGTCCCAGGTGGGCAGGGCGTTCCAGTCCTCCCAGGCCCGTCAGGAGCTCCTGGCCGTGGCCTCAAGCCCCGCCCACGTTTTCCATCCATGTCCACCTGTCCACCTCACCTGTCCATCCATGTCCACCTGTCCATCCATGTCCACCTGTCCACCTCACCTGTCCATCCATGTCCACCTGTCCATCCATGTCCACCTGTCCACCTCACCTGTCCATCCATGTCCACCTGTCCATCCATGTCCACCTGTCCACCTCACCTGTCCATCCATGTCCACCTGTCCATCCATGTCCACCTGTCCACCTCACCTGTCCATCCATGTCCACCTGTCCACCTCACCTGTCCATCCATGTCTACCTGTCCACCTCACCTGTCCATCCATGTCTACCTGTCCACCTCACCTGTCCATCCATGTCTACCTGTCCACCTCACCTGTCCACCTCACCTGTCCCAGGTGGGCAGGGCGTTCCAGTCCTCCCAGGCCCGTCAGGAGCTCCAGGCCGTGGCCTCAAGCCCCGCCCACGTTTTCCGCGTCGACACCTTCGGGGCCCTGGAGGGGATCCAGAGCGAGCTCCAGGAGAAGATCTTCGCCATCGAGGGTACCTGGGCACACCTGGGGGGGATAAAAACACACCTGGGCACACCTGGACACACCTGGGGACACCTGGGGACACCTTCGGGGCCCTGGAGGGGATCCAGAGCGAGCTCCAGGAGAAGATCTTCGCCATTGAGGGTACCTGGGCACACCTGGGGGGGATAAAAACACACCTGGGCACACCTGGACACACCTGGACACACCTGGGGGGGATAAAAACACACCTGGGGACATCTGGGCACACCTGGGAGGAGCACCTGAGATACACCTGGGCACACCTGGGCACACCTGGGGGGGGATAAAAACACACCTGGACACACCTGGGGACACCTGGGGACACACCTGTCCCTCACCTGTCCCAGGTACGCACTCCGCCCTCAGCAGCTCCTTCCAGCTGGAGATGGCCCAGGAGGGATTCAGCGCCGCCCTGACCCCTGTAGGTGACCCCTGACCTCTGACCCCTGACCTTTGACCCCTGTAGGTGACCCTTGACCTTTGACCCCTGTAGGTGACCCTTGACCTTTGACCCCTGTAGGTGACCTTTGACCTTTGACCCCGTAGGTGACCCTTGACCTTTGACCCCTGTAGGTGACCTTTGACCTTTGACCCCTGACCCCTGTAGGTGACCCTTGACCTTTGACCCCTGTAGGTGACCCTTGACCTTTGACCCCTGACCCCTGTAGGTGACCCTTGACCTTTGACCCCTGACCCCTGTAGGTGACCCTTTGACCCCTGACCACTGTAGGTGACCCTTGACCTTTGACCCCTGTAGGTGACCCTTGACCTTTGACCTTTGGCCCCTGTAGGTGACCTTTGACCTTTGACCCCTGACCCCTGTAGGTGACCCCTGACCCCTCCTTAACTGGTGTCCCCATGTGGTCACTGGTGTCCCCAGGACATCACTGACCCCTGACCCCTTTGACCTCTGACCCCACTGACCCCAGACCTTTGACCTTTGACCCCTCTGACCTTTGAACCCTCTGACCTTTGACCTTTGACCCCTCTGACCTTTGACCTTTGACCCCTCTGACCTTTGACCCCTTTGACCTTTGACCCCTCTGACCTTTGACCCCTG